ATAACAGTGTGACTCAGTACATGTGTTTTCGTGATGGCCTATTGTCTGGCATTTTCTGCTCCTTAATAAGACCAGTCTTTTTTTAATTGTGCAACGTTGTAGACCAGCGTGGAAATAATTAAGATTCAAAAGCTTGATGGAGAGTTTTCTGTTGACTCTTATAATCTTATAATGATGTGTCTCTTAGAATTATCTCTTTTATGTGGGATTTCTTTGGTCAGTTTGATGATATCGTAGGCTGGGTCGAAATCGCCATTGATTTTTATCAAGTCAATAATCTCAGTTTCTGTGAATGTGATAGGTGTGTTAAGAAGAATTGGAGAGAACAACTTTACGTCTTTGTCGTGATATTGGATACCTGTCTTTTGTAAGGTTGAGAGGACCGTTTCTTTATGCTGATTGTTATGAAACTTTAGTTCTAACTTCTTGCTGTTTCTATAGACTTTTTTCACGGGCAGTTTAGGTACTTCTTGAATCAGCCTTTCCACGATATCAGTTGTGGAGCAGTCTTCTTGTGGTCTTACTATTATTGGTTTTGGTGGTATTATTACTCGTGGAACATCAACATTGATGGAGGTTTCTAATTTTTCGAGTCTTGCGTTGATGGTCTTTAGATTCTCTTCAATTTGATTTAGTAGTTTTGAGGAGTGAACATTTAATGAAAAGTCAGCAAGTTTTATTCGTATGTCGTCAATTTTCTTGTCTAAGGATGTTTGGAAGTTTCTAGAGTTTATCAAGTCATGAGTTTCTTGTTCCGAAGTTATCTTCCTTATTTGTTGAATTGCGTTGATGCAAGCAGATCGTGGTTCCTGCGGAAGGAATATTTTCTTATGATAGCTGTAGTTGACGTTTTTCTCTATTATTTGCANTCGATATCCGTTTTAGTCTGTGACATGATGGAGGTATTTTTGTTGGTAGAAGTTGAGTATCACTGATGATGTAGTCGTTGGTTACCGGAGAAGTATGTTCATAGACAGAAGTGAGATCAACGATTACTGAAGGTGATGTATTAGTATCAGGACATTGTATGATTTTATTATCTTTTCGATGAGAATTTTTCGATCTGGAAGGAGTTTCTGTGAGTGAGATAGTTACCGGAGAAGTATGTTCATAGACAGAGGTGAGATCAACGATTACTGAAGGTGATGTATTAGTATCAGGACATTGTATGATTTTATTATCTTTTCGATGAGAATTTTTTGGTCTGGAAGGAGTTTCTGTGAGTGAGATATTGTAGTAAATTCTTTGAAAGGTTTGTGTAACTCTGCGTTGGGATCTTGTTGATCTTGCAGGGTTTTGACAATTGTCTGTAACTTGTGAATTAGCCATGAAAGAAGGTAGTCAATATGTAAGCAGAGATTTTTGTCAGTCAATGCGTAGAGTCAATACGTCAGAGGAAAATGACGTTTCGAGAAACTAAAGTATTAGTTACCAATTTTTTAATTTTTTTATTTTAAATGGCGATGGTGAGTCCCAACCAGTTACCCAGAAAAAATCATTCCAAGAAAGATGTAAAAATTTTTATTTAAAAATTTGATTTGATGTGATGCTTCATTGATGCTAGTGTGCGCCGATGCCAGTGATTCAAAGATTAGTGAAACAGTCGAAAATTATGATAACACTGCATTAAGTGCATAAAAACAAGTTATGAGGAAATCGTGGGGTATTTACGCTTAATGGCAGCGCTAGGCTGAATGAAAACATGAGCTAAAACAATAAAGTATTGCTTATGTGAATTAAGATATATTGTTTGGGCTAAAAAACCTATCAGTCTAGTTTAAGAATTCTACCATCGTGTCAATAAATTGTAAATTTATGATTGACCAAGAGAATTACAGCAATGAAACTGTAAATGCAATAAATAAAGAAAAACGTTATTGCGGCGCTAGGCAGAGACAAAAATATTAAGATCATTACATTATCAATGTTAATTAATATGATAATTGCAAGAACTAAAGCATTAATAGAAATACACTAAACAAAAAACTAATATAGTCGAAGACGAAGCTAGACAGTGCTAGACAATCCTAGTTAATTGATACAAACTATGATAACTAGTATTGAGCCACTGGCAACAGCACACAAAACATGAGAATAAATGAAAACTAAAATATGTATCAGTTAAAATAAAATAAAAGATAGATCAATAACTATACTGAAGATAGATAAGAAGAAGAAGAAATAAAGAGGAATAACAATGGGCCATGGAGTGTTACAGCAATGTAAATAATTACATTAAGGTGATAGGTCATCGCTGTGCTAATGAAACATAATCAAACTTAATGATATAAATTAAAGTGGTGAGAGTAGATATAGCAATTTATTAATTAGTACCGGTCTTGAATAGTTGGCCTGAAGCTGTCCATCATTGAGTTGATTCTATATTTCAATCATTTGATTGGGAAAAAGAATACTAATTGACCATAAGTTATGTAAAAAAATACATGAAAGACTTAGGTCGTAATAAAAGTACACACAATAAGTAATTTAAGAAAAAAAAAACATGTGATTAAACTACTAATAGAAAATATGAATAGCCCTAACATATGTAAAATGATAATAAAAAATGCATTGGAATAATGTATGTACAATAGGAAAGGAAGAAAGGAAAAAATATTAAAGAATTGTAAACTCTGACTTTAATATTAACTGAAAACAACATGGAATTGGAAAAGATATAGAGCAGCATAAGGTCTAATTTATAGAAAATTAATAAAAGAACTTGGATGGCACGTGATTAAATGCAATTAACTGTATCTGAAATCATGAAGTTTGCTTACAAATTGCTATGGAGAATAGAACACCGTTAACATTGAAAAGTGAAGTCTCTATAAAAATCTATGAAAAATCAAGGGATGGGAGAAAATTAAAAAACAGGGTTTCGGGCAATAAAGGACATTTAGGGGAACAACAAATATAAAAAATAGATTGAAGCGAAAACAATAAGACATTAATTACAATGACCAA